GCCGGCCGCGCTGCGAGCCGTCGCCCCTCCGCCTGGTGCGGCAGAGGCACGGACGCGCTTGGACCCGAATGTAGGTCCCTCGAGGGGGTGGAGACCGAATGCTGCTCCGGAGGCTGCGCCAGCCCCTTGCCATCCGGGACGTGATCCTGCACCCTCCCATCTCTGCTTTTCCCCGTGACAAGCCAGGGTAGCGCAGGGTCCAGGCCGGGGACCGTGGAACTCGACCAGGTTCTCCGGGGCCTGAAACGCCTGTGCCATCGCTCCTGAAAATCCTCGGTCGCTGGAGGAGGCTGCAGAGCAGCGCTCAGATTGGGGGCGAGAGGAAAGAGGAGGAGAAGAGCAACTCCGAAGGATGTTGCATGGGATTTTTTAAAGCAAATCCCTGATGCACAGCCTTTTCTTCTCGGGGGGATCTGGCACTTGGCTGTGCTGATGTGCACCCACCTGGGAGCTGGGTCAGCCTTGGGGGGTCAGGGAGGAACCAGCAGGGATTAGTCATCTTCATCCAGGACGGGGACTTATGGATTTGGGCCTGGGAAAGTCAGAAAGGAGGAGAAGGAGAGATTTGCTGAGCCAGGTGGAGCTCACAGGAGGAGCAGCGCTGTCGGGGAGCATAACTTGCCACCGGTGTGTTTTTAGCAGCTGTTTCTGCCCAACCAGGCTGCCTTTGCCTTGGTCCCGCTCAGAGGCCCGGAGGAACAGACACCTCCAAGATCCCATTTCTGCTCCCACTTCCTTCTGCTGTTTAGTATGCGTGTTTTTAAGATTAATTAAAGTGAAAATTAGTCTCGATCCTTCCAAGATGTCACCAAAGTAAAACCTGGAAGCACCGAAGAGTGGTGTAATGAACCAGGAACGGGACCGCTTTACCGAGCTGGGCCGTTGCGTCTGCTCTAGCCCCACCGTGCTCCTGTAGGTCAGACACCTCCTGACCGTCGGAGCTGGGGTGCGATGGCAGGCCCAGGGAAGCGCTGGTGGATACATCAGCTTGGGTTGTCCATCGCTGCTCCTTATGAGCATTATATGCCTCCGGAGCAATGGCACTTTCTAACATGGGATCGCTCTGCCGTGCCTCAAAGGGCACAAAAACAATTGAAAGAAAAAACATCGACCCCACAGGCTGTCAATGAGCCTGGCCGATGTGGCAGGGTGGCTCCCAACTCGAAGGCGCACGCCGAAATGGCAGCGAGAGGGTGAGGGAGGGAGCAGCAGCGCGCGGAAAAAAACCTCATGCTGCCTTTCAAAATCACATGGCGATAAGGCGTTTTCTGGAGTGCCCCATGCAGCTGGCAGCAGAAAGCAAGCTTTTATGTTTCGGTCTGGCTAGTTTTGAGCTTTATGCAGCCAAAAGGATCTGGATAAAGTTTGCCTGGAAGATTAGCTGGCGTTGGGCCTGACTAGACATCTCTGGAAGTCTCTGCCGGAGTGGGACGGGGTCCGAATCCCCCCCCCCCGCGAGCGCGGGCGGGCGAGCGTGCGCTTTGCCTGGATGGGGACGACAGGTCATGCAGCCCCGAAGCCCCGGGGCGAACGTGTCCCCTCCCGTGCCCCAGCGCTCCCCGCTCGCCGTGCCTTGGTCGAGGGCATCGCTTGGCCGGAGCGAAGCTGGCAGGCCCCCTGCCCTCTTTCCTCACCGTTTTGTGCCTTCGTGCCGCTAGCAGATGCCTTTGGAAGTGAAAGCTGAATCCCTCCCCTCTCATTCCTTTTTTGCTTTTTTTCTTTCTTTTTTTTCCTCCCCCTGGCTGATCTTAAAAAAGCCCCAGGCGGTTTGGGCTTCGCGAAACCCAAATGCCTTTTGCAGCATCAAGCACGGATCCCATAAGTAATATCCCAGCGTTCGAGAATAAGACAGTATATGAAGTAGACGGGGAGCTATAAAGACGCTTTAAAAGGGGCAATAAAAGTTTTGGGTTTCATATCGTCTTACCAAAGAAGAGAATAACAGAGAAGCAGGAAATTTCAGTAGCAGACATGACAAAGGTCACAGCACTCAGACTGCACCTTAGACGAAAACACCTACTCTTATGAAAACAGCAAGAATTTTTGGCAAGGGCTCAAGAGCTCTTACAGGCAAAGCTCTCGGCAGCTCTAAAAGGTTACAAGAGACTGTTTTGTCTACGTTGCTGTAAATGTTTATAATATTCCCCTGCATTCGTACTGCATGGGATATCCTGCCTGGGCGATAGCGAGCTCAGCCCGCGCTGCC